TCTTATTTTCATGTGGCCATCCACCCGGCCCACAGAAGGTTCTTATGTTTTCAAATAGGCGCAGACCATTTCCAATACAAGGTCCTGCCTTTCGGTCTCTCGTCCGCTCCAAGGGTTTTCTCCAAGACCCTACCTGTAGTGACGGCATACCTTTGCCGCCTCGGCATAATGATTTTTCCCTATCTCAATGACTACCTAATCAGAGCCCCGTCGTCGATAGAGGCACTCCGTGGATGGATATTCAGTATTTTCACATCCCATGATGAAAAGATTCATGAAGGGAATGGCTAACCTATTTCCACATCACGCACACCTGGCGGATCCTTGGGATCTTGAGATGGTCTTGAATATACTAATGGATAAACCCTTTGAGCCTTTAGTAATGTGTGACCTCCACACCCTTTCCATGAAAGTTATCTTCTTGCTTGCAATAACTTCGTCAAGAAGAGTTGGCGAATTCGCCGCCTTATCAGCTTCATCGCTGTATATAGTGTTCACCCCCCAAGAGGTCATACTACACCCACAACCGCGTTTTCTCTCCAAGGTGAACTCACAGATCCATATAAACGAGCCAATAATCCTGCCCACCTTTTACCCCAAACCATATCCCTCACTGGAACAGTCACGTCTACACATTCTGGACGTAAGATGAGTGCTGACCTTCTATACTGAAAGAACTAGACCATTCCAGAAATTTAACATGCTTCTAATAACAATGGCGGAACGTTCCAGGGGCCACCCACTATCCATACAATGCATTTCCTCGATTATCGTCGCGTGTATAAGGAGATGCTATACCCTGTGAAATAATCACTACCATTAACAACAAGAGCCCATTCAACTCGAGCGGTAGCAGCCTCCACCACTTTCCTCAGAGGAGTACCGCTGAAGGATATTTTCAGGGCCGCTACATGGTCATCGAACTTCACGTTCAACAGACATTGTGCTATCTCCAATCTCCTCATACCAGACTCTGCGGTGGCATCAGCGCTGCTATCCACGGTTATGGCACGGTAGCTCCGAACCCTCCTTCCTCACTTGCTACTGCTGTAAATTCACCTACAATGGAGCACCCATGGGACACTGCTCGAAGAAGAAGAAGAAGTTACTCACCCTGTGCAGTAATGATGGTTCTTCAAGATGCGTGTCCCATGGGTGCTTCATGACCCACCCTCCTCTCCTCTTCGGAATATTTCTATTCTTATGTCTTTCAGACCAAGAGGTTCAGGGTAAACTGGTGGGAGTCGGATCGTGCACACACAAACGGCGCAAAAAGGCACAAGCTGTGCTTTGCGCATGTGCGGTCCGGTGGACTACAGCTGGAAAAGATCTCCGTTCTGCAGCGCTGGGACAAGCCTGACACCTACAGTGGAGCACCCATGGGACATGCCTCTCGAAGAACCATCGTTACTGCTCAGGGTGAGTAACTTCTTCTTCTTAGTTGAAGCCACACAAAATCATGGGGGGGAGGGACTTCTGTCAGCCATTCCGCAAACAGGAAATAGTGACAGACACCTTCCTTATGAGGTGGGGCACTCACCTGGACTGCCACACCAGATGGGGTGCCTGAACACTGCGAGAGGCCAGGCTATGTATAATCTCATTGGGACTAAGGGTGATCCAACTTACATTCAAGGCTTTCTTTCCCCTCATACACTCGCTCCAAGTACAGATAATGTTGAACACTATCACTACCCTAATGCATATAAGCAAACAGGGAGGAACAAGTTCTCATCCCCTTTGCCCGGAAGATTTCAGACTTTGGAATTGGTGTATTAGAAACCACATCAAGATATATGCCACATACCTTCCAGGTATTCACAACTCCTTGGCAGACAAACTAAGCAGAGGCTCCTCTGCAGACCACAAATGAGAGAACTACAATCCTAATCAATCCTAATCAAGATATTTACACAATGGGGTACTCTTTTATGGGACCAATTTGTGTCCCAGATGAAAGGAAATGAGTGATGCTCTCCTGCTTTCCTGGATGGATTGCGTCAGATACATTTTTTCCTCCCTACTCTCACAAATCATAGTGAATATCCTTTGCAACATTCTCATAGCACCTTACTATCCCAGACTATTCTGTTTACAGAACTTCTAACTTTGTTCTTCTGCCCACCTAACCATTTCCAGATCTCCTAATCCAAGGGGAGCGGAGGATCAAGCACTCCAACCCAAGATCTCTCCACCTCATGGTCGGGTGATTGGATGGGCATCTGAATTAAATGGAATGCTCATGTTCCACCCTCCTTCAGCAAAGTGGAAAGGATTCTACAGAACCTTTTACCTAACCAGATGGAGGCCCTTTTTGGCCTATGGATGTCTCCACTATGTTTGCTGGGTACTGTTGGCATTCCAATTGACCTTCTGAAATCCGTGAAGTCTTTAGGTCTAGCTCTTATTTTGCTATGGGTATACCTAGCAGTTATTAGTGCCTTCTTCCCTCCAGTCTTTCTCACCAACTACTGTATAATTTCTGAACTGCTAAATCGGGTCCTTCACACTAGTTATTAAAGCTACATCACAATGAAGCCTTATCCTTGTCCTGTCAACATTCCCAAGTCTGGCATTCAAATTTATGGCAACAGAAGAGTAAATGAGTTAGGATCCATCTCGGCAGACACTCTCTGTATAGTGTGTCACAGAGATAAGGTTTCTCTTCAGTTATATTCCCAGATTTCTTCCCAAAATTGTTTCTGAATTCCACAATACACTTACCTGTATCTTCCAGAAACCCCATGCTGCTTCTGAAAACAAGCGACTTCACTCCCACAGTGTCAGGTGCCCATTAGAAAAATCTCAGCCCTTCTATTGCCATAGCAGAAAGACTGCATGGGCAAGCCATATTTTCCCAGAGATTTCTAAGTGGGATCCTGGATGCATCTTCAAGTGCTACAACATAGCAAGAATTCCCCCTCCCCCAAGGCATGACAACTCACTCCACATGAGCATAAGCAGCCTTCACAGCATCCCTATCTGATTCCCTGCTGCAGGACATTTGCAGGGCAGTGACTTGGAGTTCTGTCCACACATTCATGGCACACTACACTGTAATAGAAGACTGACAGCAGATAAAGTAGGAATGGAAGGTCACCCATGTGTAAAATACACATAGGAATCATCACTCGAAGAAGAAGCAATGAGAATTACTTGCTGTAACTTGAGGTTCCTCGACATATATTGTCACTCTCTGTATCCCACCATCCCCTCTGCTTTGGGGCCTGTTGGGTTTACAGTAAAAAGAGGAATTGGAGAGATATAGTCCCATTCTGCCCCTCATCCCATCAGTCAGGAGCACAAGGAAATCTATTTCCCATATCTCCAGAGGGTAGCCGAGTTAGTCTGTACAGGATAAATTTAAAAAACAACTGGTCTGGTAGCACTTTATAGACTAACAAAACATATGCTGCTTACTGGACACTGTTTTGAAGAATTTCTGGGCTGGAGCACATGGTGCACATTCATATCCAGATGTGGAGCACAGATAGGGACTGTACATCTTGAAGAACATCCAGTTACAGTAATCTCCACTTATGGGCTTGATATTGAGGAATTATTGATTAAAATTCTATGGTTTCGGGACTCTTGCCAGAGCTAGGCATATCACCTGTAAGTGGTTCCTTTTTTCCCCCTGTTAAAAGGATCAAAGACAGTAGTGTGAAGAAAATCTTCCTTCACCTTGAAAGTTATTTTTAGGAGTTCTGCAGTATTCTAGAAGGCTTTGTCTACACTGCAGGGTTTTTGTAGACAAGAGATCTTCTGCAAAAACTTCTCATGCAAAAGCATGTTCACACCTCAAAAGCACATTGCAAAAGCAATGTGCTTTTGCACAAGAGAGCGTCCACACTGCTTGGATACTCTTGCGCAAGAAAGTTCTGATTGCTATTCACAGAATGGCCATCAGAGCACCTGTGCTTTTTCTGATAGGCTCTTTTTGCACAAGAAACCCCTGCGGAGCATCCACACACACCTTTTTGTGCAAGAACTCTTGAGCAAAAAGGAGTTATTCCTCATAGAAAGAGATATACCTACACTTCAAAAAACCCTCTGTTCTGCCATTTTACTATAAATTTTCTTGTGCTAAAACATGCTTGAGGTGTGGACGCTCCGTGGGTTTTTGCACAAAAACCTGGTAGTGTAGACATAGCTGAACTGTGTTTGCAAATGATATTCTCCAGTGTATTCATGAACTTCGCCCCACCTCCAGCTGCGATTGGGGCTTCTGTTTGTTTCTGTTCATACAGTTTGCTGCAGTTTTCCATCCCGGAGGACCTGCGTGAAGGTGGTCCGACCAGAGATACGGGGATCGATTTTTAAGAGTAAGAGGTTTTGTTTTTAAAGCAGGGGTGAGGAACCTAATACCCCAGCTCACGTGAGTGTGGCCCTCGAGACTCAAGGTTCCCACACTAACGCTCTAGCTCCCCTCCAGATTGGTGATAGAAATGTAGCCGTGTTAGTCTGGGGTAGTTGAAGCAAAATGCAGGACAATGTAGCACTTTAAAGACTAACAAGATGGTTTATTAGATGATGAGCTTTCGTGGGCCAGACCCACTTCCTCAGATCAAATAGTGGAAGAAAGTAGTCACAACCATATATACCAAAGGATACAATTAAAAAAATGAACAAATATGAAAAGGACAAATCACATTGCAGAACAGGAGGGGGATGCGGGGGGGGGGGAGGAAGGAAGGTAAGTGTCTGTGAATTGATGATATTAGAGGTAGGGAGAGTGGGATGTTTGTGAGTTAATGGTATTAGAGGTGATAATTGGGGAACTATCTTGGTAATGGGTGAGAAAGAAAAGCCGCGTTCTTTCGATTTAATTTCGAAAGAACGCGGCTGTAGTCTAGACGCAAGTGAAGTTTTTTCGAAAAAAGGCTACTTTTTTCGAAAAAACCCTTGAGTCTGGATACAGCCTTAAAGTTTGTCTTTGTAATGTTCATATATAATTAATAACTCCTTCTTGTCTTTGTGTTTTGTCTAACTGTGTACAGGCAAGATCTAAATCAGTGCTCTATGATGCAATCAGTGTTGCACATGAGATGGGCCATTCTCTTGGCTTCATTCATGATAATTCTAAGAGAAATGTAGCTAAAGGCTGTGTGTGCAAATGCATCAGAGGAGGAAAATGTGTCATGTGGTCACATGCTTCGTGAGTAATGCTTGTTTTTAAAATTGTAAATACATTTGTGACTTTTGATAAGCTCATCGTAGAGAATGATTCCTTTTTTTCTACAAACTCATTGCTTCTGATGTACATGGGACAGGATAGTCCTTCCTCTATTTTGCATATTATGTAATGGGACAGAATAGCAGTTGAAAATGTTCTTATCTTCAATTACTGACTCCTCTCCTTTTCCTTTCCATGTGGCTAGTTGGTTTCAATTTGACAAATAAGTTAAATTCAGGAGTCTTCTCTGAATCAGGTAATATTTTTCTCAAGGCCTGCCTGTAATACAAGTTGGAGCTCCTTGTGTCACTTCTTTTTCATCTGTTGTTACTGGTAAATATTGTTTAATGTAAGTTTGTTTATTGAGCATTAATTCTTCGTCGAGAGGCATCCCTAGGAGTGCTCTACATGAGGTGTTGAGTGCCCCAGCACTTCTCGATGGATTTTTCTCAACAGTGTATCAGGGGCCGCGCATGCGCGGCGCACGAGAGAGCCTCCCTCAGTACTATCACGCATGCACGGCCCCCTCCCTTCAGTTCCTTTCTATCACCCCCGGCTTCAGACAGAACTCTCCTGATCTCGCAAAGACTTCTCCTCATACATTATTTTCTTCAAATAGTTGTTTAGAATGATCTTTTCTCCACAGTTCTTGTTAATAATTAGTTATTTCACTTGTTTAGAGTTAGTTTTAAAAAAAAACCACCCGCAGTCTTGAACTGCAGTCTCCAGCCACCCAGCTTTAAAGCTGCAGACTCTGCAAGAACTTAATGCCTGCAGAGGTGGCCCTAGACTAGCTGCTAGCAACTGGCACCCATGCAATCGGCGCCCCCACCTCCAAACCGCTCAATGATATTGCACCACCATTTGGTGCCCCATTTAACTTGGCACCCTAGGTGACCGCCTAGTTCGCCTATATGGACGGGCCACCCCTGAATGCCTGTCTCCCACTGCGCTAACCTGAAAACATGCAAAGACAGAGAGCTGTGACTTAAAACGGCCTTCACTGATAAGGACAAACACCATACTTCTGACCTAGGCTCGGGTCTGAGCAATACACTGAAGAGGCAAACGTCTCCATAGCCATTAAAGGCAGAGGTGAGCTCTGTTCATCAGCAGCCCAGAAAGCCGCAGGCTAAAGGGAGAAAGTCACACTGCTCAGGCAATAACCACTTGAGCTCGTATGACTGCCCAGGGACTTCCGGTGAGTATAAAAAGGGCAATAAAAATGTAAAGAAGTCTGCTCTTACTGAGGCAACAGGTCTTCCCGTGCCTGCCTCACACTCCACACTGTCTAACACATCAGTGCTTGCCCTTTCACGAGCCATAGGAGCTCTTCCCCCTACAGACCAACTGCTGACTGCCAGCACCCCTCTCCTGTTACTAGGGGCAACACCTCAGAGGAGCGCTGCCTCAGCAGCAAGGGCAATTTGTTTACAGTCCACAGAACTATCCACGCTACATATTCCTCTCATTAGCCACAAGGACCCATTCCTTCTTGTCCTATCATCACAAGTTAAGGACAAAAATTTTTCTCCCTTTTCCTTGTGACAACCTTTTAGGTATTTGAAAGTTGTCATTGTGTCCCTACTCAGTCTTCTCTTTTTCAGACTAACCAAACCCCCAATTCTTTCAATAACTAATGCTTATTGGAGAAGATATCCTTTTTTGTAAATTATCTCCCTGAGGAACATAAGAGATTAGTGACTGCTCTTTTGGGAGAAGGGCAAAGTGTCCAAGCATGAGTTAAGGGCAGTGTTTGATTCATCAGATGCTTTGGACCGGGATATAGCCTCAGATATTTCTTTAAGGCTTCACGCCTGGTTGAGATTGGTGGAATTGAGGATGAGTAATGTCCTGAGACAAGAATGAGAATAGAAGATCCTCTATTAAAGAGAGATGGTCTATTTAGTCTAAAGACAGGTGAAATTGTGGACAAAATGCAATCAAACAACCAAAATATTCTCTGTACTGTCTTCATCACAATACTGTCTTCATCAGTTTCCTTTACGATAGAAGGAACGTACAACTTCAGCTTTTTCTGACACCATTCCTGCCCATCCTGAATAATAGCCATTGATGGACCTATCTCCATGAATGTATCTAGTTCTTGTTTGAACCCTGTTAAAGTTCTGGTCTTCATAATATCCTCTGGCAAGGAGTTCCATGAGTTGACTGTGTGTTCTGTGAAGAAATACTTCCTTTTGTTTGTTTTAAACCTGCTACCTATTAATTATATTTGGTGACTCCTAGTTCTTATGTTATGAGAAGGAGTAAATAACTCTTCTTTATTTACTTTCTCCACACCAGTCATGACAGTACAGACTTCTATTATAGCCCCCCCCCTTAGTCATCTCTTTCAAGCTGAAAAGTCCCAGTTTTACTGATCTCTTCTCATTGGCAGTTGTTCTATACTCCAGACATTTTTTGCCCTTTTCTGAACTTTTTCCAATGCCACAATATCTTTTGGTTTGCTTTTTTAACTGCTGCTGCACATTGAGTGGATGTTTTCAGAGAATTATCCACAATGACTCCAAGATCTCTCTCTTGAGTGATAACAGCTAATTCAGTCCCCATTGTTTTTTACATATAGTTGGGATTTTGTTTTTCAATATGCAATTTGTTTTGCATTTATCAATATTAAAATTAATCTGATAGCCATGACACGAGGACGTGTTGAGAGCAGAGCTATTAGAGATATTCATTCTCCCTCTCTCTCTCTCTCCTTGAATTAGGAACAATACAGGAAGTATCTCATGCGACAAAAGGAGGGGAGATTATTCACAGTGTTCCTGATTCCAAAAAAAGGGGAGGAGGGATTGTCCCATCTTGGGTCTCAGAAAATAAAATTAATTTATAAAAGAAAGTTTCCTTTCACCTGCTGTGACTATCGTCTCTAATCACCTCCCTTTCAGTTCAGGACTGGTCTGCAGCTCTAGCCATAAAGGACACTGAGGGCAGGTCCCCATCCCAGTCAGGATGGAGGTAATGATCTCTGGGCACAGTCAGCCTCAACCCAGCATACCTGTGAGGCTTGTCAAGCTAGGAAATGGTCAGGTCCTCAAAGGCAACTTTAATTCTCACTGCAAGGAGACTTAATGACAGCTCTGAAACTTTCTTGACCACTTGTGTACAGGTTGCAGAAGCCTCCCAGTGGTCTCCAGAACACTGAGCCCTTGTGCTGGCTCTCCACCTGACTTGACTGGGCTAAGCAGCTCACTGATGTCTTGACTCTTTGGCTGCATGGGATTACCCAGTGGTTAAGGCTGACATACTGGACTTTCTTCAGTAATTCAATCAGAGGCTATGGGTCTATTACAGGAAATGGTGGGTAAGGTTCTATTTCCTGCACTGTGCAAGAGGTCAGACTATATGGCGCTGATGGCCCTTTCTGACCTTAAAATGTATGAGCCTAACTTCCAGCCACTGGATTTTGATATTCATCTGTCTGACAGATTAAAGTGCTCTTTAATATTATATTTATTCTCTTTATACAGGAGGATACTGTGCACAGAGTTCAGTAACTGCTCTAGAGCAAAATATTATGACATGATAAGAAAACCAGAAAAAACGTGTCTACTTAACATACCAGAAAGGAAAGCATTTGGAGTACAGACATGTGGTAATGGTGTGATAGACGAGGAGGAGGAATGTGACTGTGGCCTGGATGAGGTTAGTAACTGAAGATATTGCTTTAATGCAGGTTTTACAGAAGCATTGTAAGTTTCTTGTGTTTTATCCGACTTCAAAACTTCTCTATAAGAAATGTTGTGGGGAGGTCATTTTGGTTTTATCATAGAAGTGCTGTTCATGGTTCCATTGTTAAGACTGAGTTTAGTTTTGCTCTCAAAGCAAGTATTAGAACATAAAAACGTAAGATTTAAGATACTGGGTCAGACTAATGGTCTTTGTAGCCCAGTGAATGAGCAGAACAGGAATTATGAATGGTCCATTCCCTGTCATCCAGCCCCAGCTTTTGGCAGAGATCTAAGGATATTCTGCCATCTTGTCTAATTCTTTTTTTAATCCAGTTATACTTTTGACCTTCACAACATCCCCTACAAGTTCCACAGGTTGACTATGCATTGTGTGAACAAGTACTTCTTTGTGTTCTTCTTTGCCTTGTGCACAGTTGGGAGAACATTTTACCGTACCGTTATTTTGAGATAACTAGAGTAATTTCTTTCTTAATGCCGGGGTTCAAGAAGTGTGGCGAATGCCGCGAGGCAATGCCTGCCTCTGATGGCCATTCCCTGTGCATCAGGTGCCTCGGGGAAGGCCACATACCCCAAAAATGTCCCCATTGCTCCAAGCTAACAGCCAGAGCAAGACGGGACAGGGACATGCGCCTAAAGATCCTCTTGTTCGACAAAGCTCTGCAACACCAAACCCAGCAACCTAAGGGGCACGCAGAGCAAACTAAAAAAACGAAGAGGAAACCATCTCCAACGTGATCCCTTCCACCCTCACGATTGGGTGCTGGTGACAAGCCGGGGACATCAACGGCACCGCCCGCACGCATTGTGGTGGCGCCCAAAGACAGCCGGAGTAAGTCAGCTCCGAGCCCTTCTATATCGGGCTCCACGGTCTCAGCCGTTCCCTCGGTTTCCAAACCGCTTCCAGGGACCTCCACGGCTTCAAGGACCTCTGCCAGTGCAGAACGCTCCCCGACACCGAGCCGCTCCCCGGCACCGAGCCGCTCCCCGGCACCGAGACGCACGTCCAAGCTGCCTGCGGAGCCAAGCCATTCCTCTGCACAGGAGCGTTCTTCGGCGCTGGCTCATTCTCGAGCACAATCACCAGCTTTGAGGCGCTCCTCGCCCCGGGCGCATGCAGCACGGCCAAAACAAACAGCACCGAAACCCTCAACATGGGTATGCTCGGTAACTCATGAGCACCCTTCTTCTACACGGTTGGCACCGAATCGATCATCACCGCCCAGGAAGCAACAATCACTGGTTACACGTTCACCAGCACCGGAGCGTTCCTCGTCATCGACGCGCCTACCGGCACCGAGCCATCCTTCGGCACCGGAAGGATCGTCACATCACAGGCTTCTCTTAGAAGGATGTCCACCGGCACTGAGGCGGCCTTCACCCTTGAGACGGTCCCCGGAACCGAGACAACTGGTGCCGACACAATCGACTCCGACGACGCGGACCACCTCGGCACGGACTCCTTCAATACCAGTGGAGATAATCCCTCACTCTGTGCTCTCCACTCCAACTTCCTCTCCACCGGAACAGTTGCTGGCACCACCTGCCCATAGATCTAAGAGATTATCTTCTCTCTCATCACGTCCTGAGTTCTCTCCTGAAATAAGTTCACCATCCCCGGCGTACTCTGAGGACTCTCGTACTGGTCAATTCTCCCCACGATCCGGTCATTTCTACCACCATGATCGTCGTTCACCCAGCCACAGCACCTATTACAGAGGAAGGTCACGATCGCCAAGATTGCCTGCGTTTTCAACCCATTCGGAATATTCCAGGAGGTCCCGTCGTTCCACGTCACCCTACTATCACCATAGGTCATCGTCTCATCATCACCGGTCACCTCAAGCACATTCCCGCTCCTCTCTCGTCCAAAAGCACTCCGCTCCCTCTGCTCCTTCAAGGCCACCAACTCCCTCCGGGTCTCCTTCTCACACCGGACAACCTCTTCCTGTTCAGGATCCCGAACCTGATCGATCACCCACGGATCAATCTTCATCGTCACCAGACGATGCAGTTTTTCAGGGAGACACCTCACCATCGGACGACCTACACCAGTTTCAGGAGCTGTTTAAGAGAGTGGCAGAGAGTCAAAACGTGCAGCTGGAGGGGGTGCAACAAAAACAACACCACCTCCTCTGTAATATCAAACAATCTCACCAGCCCAAGATCTCGTTGCCACTGGACGCGGCCATTCTTGAAATTGCAGACGATATTTGGCAGATGCCGGCATCCACCCCGCCCACGAATAAGAAGGTGAATAAAAAGTATTTCGTCCCCGCTAAGGGGATGGAATTCCTCTTTACCCATCCACAGCCTAATTCGTTGGTTGTGGATGCAGTACAACAAAAGGCAAAGATGCCACAACATAAACCTACTGCCACAGACAGAGACAGTAAGCGTCTCGATTTATTCGGACGTAAAGTATACTCCTCGGCAACACTCACTCTGCGAATGGCCAATTATTCCGCGCTGTTGGCGAATCACAATTTCGACAACTACACCAAGCTTGTGCCACTTCTTCAACATCTTCCAGAGGCGAAACGGGACATTTTAAAGGCTGTAATACAAGAGGGCTACGCAGCCTCTGGAACGGCCTTACATTATTGCCCTGGATACAGCCAACACTGCAGCATGCACGACTGCTACATCGGTCATTATGTGCAGAGCATCCTGGCTGCAGCAGTCCTCTGCTCCCAAAGACCTCTTGTCGAAGGTCGAGGACCTACCCTTTGACAGGCAAAATCTCTTTTCTGATAAGACTGACCAACTTCTGCCCTCGGGAAAGGACTCCAGAACCACTTTAAAAACGTTGGGCATGTACACTCCTCCATACCATAGAAAACGATATACCCCCTACCAAAGGCAGAGGCCCCCCCTACGACAACCTCCTCAGTATTAGGCCTCAAGACCAACAAAGAGATAGACAGCGACAACAGCAGAGACATCCGCCGCCCAAAACGACTTCCCAACAGGGTACCAGACAGCAGGTTTGACGCGTCACTCGAGGGGTTAAGAACCATTCCTGCCATCACCATTCTGAGTGCTACGAAGGCGATTTTTCACCACCACCTGAGGCCGTACCTCCATCGATGGGCTTACATCACCACCGACAAATGGGTTCTTCAGACAATTCGCCTCAGTTACACCATCCCATTCACGTCACTACTCCCTCCTTCCCCCCCTGCCCTGTCCCTTTTCAGGGACCCATGTCACGAGCCCTTGCTCAGGCAAGAAGTTACCCGTCTACTCGCTGTCGGAGCAATAGAGCCTATTCTGGACGAGTTCAAGGGCAGAGGTTTTTATTCCCGGTACTTTGTAACGGAAAAGAAATCAGGGGGATGGAGACCAATACTAGATCTTCGCGACCTCAACCGTTTCTTACGAAAACAATGGTTTCGAATGGTTACCTTAGCTACAATCATCCCAGCACTTCAGAACGGGGATTGGTTCACATCCCTCGATCTTCAGGACGCATACTTTCACATTGCGATTCATCCGGCACACAGACGATTCCTACGCTTCCAAATCGGTACAGACCATTTCCAATACAAGGTCCTGCCATTCGGTCTCTCGTCGGCTCCACGGGTTTTCTCCAAGACCCTGGCCGTGGTGACCGCATATCTTCGTCGTCTACACGTAATGATCTTTCCATACCTCAACGATTGCTTAATCAGAGCCCAATCATTGCAGGAAGCACGCGATGCGACAGAGACAACACGCACGGTCTTCCAGGAGCTGGGTCTCATTCTCAATATCCCGAAGTCCTCATTGGAACCGCACCAATCAATACAGTTCATAGGCGCTTGTCTAGACTCTACGCGCGAGTATGCGTCATTACCAATGGAAAGGTTCCAGACGATGCAGGATTTGATCCAGATCTTGCTCATCAGCCCAACGGTTCCCATACTACGGTGCCTACAGCTTATGGGACACATTGCCTCCACAACATATGTGGTCAAACACGCAAGGTTGTGTTTTCAATGCCTTCAGCATTGGATGGCACGGATCTGTCCCCCCAATGTATGCGACGTCCACATGACAGTAACGGTTCCCACCCATGTCAAGAAGTCACTATCTTGGTGGACAGGTCCAGACAATCTATTGTTGGGCGTACCCTTTCATCGCCCTCAGCCATTGGCACAGTTGACAACAGATGCGTCTCTCATTGTATGGGGCGCACACCTCCATTCGCGAGCTACTGCTGTACATTCACCTACAGTGGAGCACCCACGGGACACTGCTCGAAGAAGAAAAAGAAATTACTCACCTTGTGCAGTAACGATTGTTCTTCGAGATGCGTGTCCCGTGGGTGCTCCACGACCCGCCCTCCTCCCCTCTTCGGAGTTTTCTCTACTTTGTGTCTTTCAGAGCAAGAGGCAAGAGGAACTGGCGGGAGCCGGACCACCAACGCTCAAACGGCACGAAAAGCCACGAGCCATACTTCGCGCATGCGCGGTCCGGCAGACTATGGCTAGAAAAGATCTCCGATCTGCGGTGCCAGGACAAGCCCAACACCTACAGTGGAGCACCCACGGGACACGCATCTCGAAGAACAATCGTTACTGCACAAGGTGAGTAACTTATTTTTTTGGAATAACTATTCTGGAATAGCTTATTTCTAAATAAGCGTGCCATGTAGACGTACCCTTGGTGATACCCATTGGGATGGTTTCAGCATCCTCTGCCATTGGGCTGGATATAAGAGGACAGAGCTAACCACAGCCCTCCTCAGTTCCTTCTTACTGCCAGTGATGTTTGTTGTGTTTCCAGTGGTGCTATCCAGGTTTTTCCAAAACTCATTGCATATACTCTGTTTGCTGTTTATTAGTTAATTAGATATATTATGTAGACTGCCTTCATGATAAACTTCAGTTAAGTCCTTTCTGGACCAAATTTTATGATTAGGACTGAGACCAGAGCCATGCCTTGCCCTCTGCGGTTAAAGCCTGCCTGTCACATGTCAAACCGATGCTGGTTGGTAACCTGTACCCCAACTGTCTAAAATGTTTGAGGGAATCCTACGGACAAGTGTCACATTTGTAGAGGATATAAACCGCCCTCTAAAAAAGTTGGACCAGCAAGGCCTAAGTGTTTCCTTGCGAAGGTAGAACTTCACCCTTCATTGGCACCATAAGACTGAGAACATAGTCCAAGTGGAGAACCATCAATGTAGATGTGCCTCCTGAGGTGGCTTTGGCACCGTGCTCTGTATCTCCAGTACTGAAGAGATACAGATCTTCCAAGAACTCATTCAGCTATAAATAAGGACTCTATGGGGTGGCATTCTACAGAACATTCATCTGATACAAAGTGGGGTGTTTTTTTTCCCTTTGGAACCTATGCTGGTGCCATCAAGGCTGACCCCTGAAATTCCTATACAAAGATAACAGACTCAAGAACCAGTTCCAGTACCAATGGTGCTGGAGGTATACACTGCTGCCAGAGAGTTGCTTAACCAGTTGGTATTGATGTCTTCAGCAATGCAGGTGTAGTTCCTACACCAGCTCAACAGCAACATGTGGTACTCATGTTGCTTCCAGTATCTAAAAGGCCAGTGTGTTAATAGCCTCACTACAACAATCTCTTTGTTCAGCTTACCTATATCCTGTCCACATGGGTTCTCCTCCGCTGTTATAGCGGGACTCTGAGGGTACGTCTATAAAGCACTGTAAACTCGAAATAAGGTATGCAGTTTGCCCTATGCAAATTGCATATCTTATTTAAAATCTATTTCAAAATAGCTTATTTTGGAATTTGGTGTGTCTACGCAGCGCCAAATTTTGAAATAATGTGCTATTTTGAGTCCTCCCTTATCCCTCATGCAATGAGGTTTACCAAGATGGTGAAATAGCGCGCCTGTTATTTTATAAAATATTTCTAAATAACAGGAAGCTTGTCTAGATGTGGGGTAGCTATTTTGGGATACCTCCAGTATCCCAAAATAGCCGTGTAGTGTAGCCATACCCTGAGTCTTCTTTGTTGAATTCAGAAATAGCGTCTTTTTTGTCCCATACCACACAGAAAGCACATCCTCTGCCAGAGCTTTGGGGTGCATGGATGTCACAGCAGTATCAATAGTGGCCACATCATAAGGGGTAATGGCCTGTACTAATAGCGTGTCAGGATCCTAACAAGTGCAGTCAAGGTCAAGAGTCATAGCAGGGTCAAACCTGGGGATCAGAGGAGTTTGCAGTCAAGTTCCAGACACCAAGGATCAGAGTCTGAGTCAGGTTTCAGGAGGCAACGTTCAAATCAAGCTGAGAGCAAAGCCAGGAATTCAGGAGCAAAGAGCAGCCATGGAAGCTACAGGAGAGCTACACTGATGACTGGACACTTCCTGGAATACCCCTTGGGTTTATATAGGGCAGGGAACCAATCAGAAGACATGAAATTGCTGCCTGTCAAACCTCTGAGGTGGAACTTCCCCAGCAAGTCATGGGAAGTGGAGTACAAGCTGTTTACAGGTGCTACTGAATGGCAGCCTGGAGATGCTATGGCTGCCTGGTAGCTCTACAAGCCTGGCTTCTACGTCTGAGGGAGCTTTTTATAACACCAGAGCGGGCTTAAAACATTGGTTCTTAACCCTGTTAGCATTTTTAATGAGTCCTCCCATGGCTCTCCCATTGGATTCAGATGGGATTTCTCAAGACCATGGAAGTCATTGAGTCCAGTCTTTTCCTGTAGCAGACAATCCTGTCATATAACCTTATTCAAAAATTTTATCAAGATCCATCCTAAAACTCATTATTTTGTTAGTCCCCACTGCTCGTCTTTGGAGGCTGTTCCAGAATCTCACTCCTCCAAAGGTTGGAAGCTTTCTTCTGATTTTCAGCCTAAATTTATTCATTGGCTGTTCATGGCCCTGGGATGGGATGGTTTACTGCCTTTTCGTACATGTCCCCAATGTATGGCACAGTTGCTTGGTCCCAGTGTTTAAAACTGGATTTCCTTCATTTATGTTTAATGCCATTATCAATGTATATATAATGATAGTCTGGAGATAGATTGATGGGATAACCAATTTAACAGAGGCAACTGATGTTCCTCTCCTCTTCTGCTCCTTCCTCTCTACCCCACTATGGCCGCAGACCTGGATCCCAGCAGGAGGGATCAGAAGTATTGTCCCCTTAATACTACTGCAGACTAGACTACTACCCTGCTACTTCCTGTGAAGATTATTGTGAGTGGAATTCCTCACCCAAAGATGTGGATCAATAAATGTGAACAACCAAGTCCCATTATGATCATCAGAAAGAGGAAAGCAGTGCCCACTATGGACAAAGTTAAATTTTGTGGTGCCCAAAACTGGATTCTGTCCAAAGGAAGTTAACTGTGCATCTGTAAACCTGCTGGACTGTTGAATCCTGTCCCCCGACTGCTGTCCTGGGAACTTTGAATATAGCTATACTGCTCCTCACCTCAGCAAGTTGGGTACTTTACAAATGTCCCCTTGTAATCTACTTAAAGACACGCATATTTATTCACACATTTATATTACAATTCTTGGCTGCCTTTATATAACTGCCATGAATACCAGGAACTCATCCAGCTGCTGTTCCCAACCCTTCTCTTTCTCTACCAGCAACCCCAGATGCTCATGGGAAGACATCCTTTAGTTTGGATACAAATAACTCATCTGAAGTCTTCCAGGAGTTCCTCCAGATAGATCAGATCCGGCCCACCTAGGTCTTTGATCTGGCCCGCGAGGCAGTTTCAGGCCCTACCCCCTAGTTCCTTGCCTCAGAGCAGGAGACGGGGCAAGCCCTTCAAAATGCTTCTGCATCTTCCCTGTAGCTTGCCTAGCAGCTGCGGATAAGGTACAAGCCCTTTAAATAGAAACAGCTGAAAGGGCTGGCATCTCTGGCTCCCTAGCAACTGGAGAGGCAGGAAGCTGAGAGCCCTCTCAGCTGTTACTATTTAAAGGGCTCTCTTGTTCCCCAAGGCCGTTAGGCAATGCATTGCCTAGCAGCCCTAGGGGAGGCACAAGCCCTTTGAAATAGAAGCACTTAAAAGGGCTTGAGTCTAACTCCCTAGCAACAGTGTTAGAGGCTGGGGGAGCTGGAGTACACTTTGGCAGCTGAATGCTTCTTTAGTGTTGTGGTGAATCTGCCTTTAAGGTTTATATAAAATAAAACTATTGAAGGTTGTTTGCATGTACCTGTATTTTCAAATAATTAGAAATATTACATCAGTTGATGGTATTAATGTGACACCCATCCCAATAGAATCTGAACAACTCACAATCTTTTACTAAGAAATAGCATTAATAACATTTAATAAAACAATAAACTATAAGAGCCATGGTATGACAGGAAAACTCGGCAGTGGATTGTTATAGTGAGGCTATTTTATTTTGTATTTTAAGGTGTGCCAACAGAATGGTTGTTGCCTGGCCAATTGTACAGTAAAGCCTGGTGCGGACTGTATGTCTGGACTTTGCTGTGAAAACTGTGAGGTGAGATAAATGTGCAGAGTTAGTTATGTACTTTATGGTAAACAGAGCATTTAACTAATTTTTAAGAATACCATTAGCCAATTGCAATGGTTTGTTTTCAGTATTTCTTTCTCAGGCATTGGGTCTGCTAACATCATATATATAGACTGGGATCTCTTTACTCTTTACATCAACTGCAGAAAAATCTGCCAGTGCAGTGCATGGCTCAGAGTCCTATGTGACTTCAAAACATCCCCTCGTTAATGTATTTTTCCAGTATTTACTTCCTACACATATTCCTTTTTGCCTCCTATTGTCCTTCTCTTCTTTTCTCATTCCTGCCTTTCCACCATAGCATGAAGCTCTTTATCTCCAAAACTGCATGTGCCTGGGAACTATGAAGATGGTCAATACCAAGATGAAAAAAGAGCCCACTCCAGTTCCAAATTTAGAAGAAAATAATTTCCACTCCTACTCTCTCTGCATGTTTCTCAGAGATTCCTCAGTTCAGCTGGACTCCTTGGGGCTACCCAGACCTTCCACTCAATAACCATCAATAAAGGATCCCTCAGTCAAGAATCAAGGCACCTTCTCTAGACCCCAAGAAAGCCTGCATCAGTAACAGAGAGTTCTTGTGCTATCACTAATGCAGGAAGCGTGGTTCCCACCGCGGCCAGCACAGGCACAGAAAGTGGTTCAACCCACCCTAGCGTTCAGTGTCTCAGCTAATGAAGACAAACAAGACTCAGCAGAGAGGTTCCGGAGACTGAAGAAACTATATTAATTTTCTCCATCCCAGTATCCTTCCATCTTCTTCATGGGTAGGAGTCACATAAAACCAGTACTCCTACACACACTTCACATCTCTCACCCTAGCCGCTCAGGGATACTGGACAAAAGTTCTGAAAGATTTTTTCTAGTAGATGATGTGTAGTGGTAGGCACACAGGCCGACTTTCTTCCCCTCCAGTCCCTAGTTATTCAACCAAGAAAAGTATTTGCTGCAAGCCTTCATTTACCTAAATATTCATAAGCTTCAGAGGGGTAGCCGAGTTTAAGTTTTTCTAAATATTCATGAAATTCTCTAGAACTGACAAGAGGTTGCATCTAGACCCTCTTAAGGCCAACAAAGAGACTTTAACACCAGATTACAGAGGGAGACCTCAGAACTTTTATTTATGCTAAAATTCTACATGTTGGGAATGGGCCTTAATTGAGATGATAATTATCTTACACATTACAAAGACAGCCTCCCCAACTTAAACCTGTCCAACACATTATCAATAAACTACAGCTTATATTGGAACAGGATACCATACTCAAAGAGGATCTGGGAGACAGACCCATAATCTCCTATAGACAACCACCTAACCTCAAGATGATTCTTACCAACCACCACAGGACATACCACACTAATACCAACCCTGGTACCTTCCCTTGCAACAAACCCCGTTGCCAGCTTTGTCCACATATTCATTCTGCTGATACCATTATTGGACCTAACCAAGTGAGTTATAAGATCAAGAACACATATCCCTGCGCATCCAGAAATATAATCTACGCTATCATGTGCCGAAAGTGTCCGTCTGCTATGTACATTGGACAAACATCTCAGACACTTCGCCAAAGGATTAATGCCCACAAAACAGATATCAGACAAGATCACAAAGAGAAAACAGTTTCTTGCCACTTTAACCAGAAAGGACACTCTCTAAATGACTTAGCCACCTGCATTCTGCTACAAAGACCTTTTACATCTGCACTTGAAAGGGAATCCTCTGAACTGTCATTCATGTTAAAATTCGACACTTACCAACAAGGACTTAACAAGTCTTTGAACTTTCTCACCCATTACCAAGACAGTTTCCCCAATTATCACCTGTAATACCATTAACTCACAAACATCCCACTCTCCCTACCTTTAATATCAGCAATTCACAGACACTTACCTTCCTTCCTCCCCCTTCCCACCCCCCCGCATCCCCCTTCTGTTCTGCAATGTGATTTGTCCTTTTCATATTTGTTCATTTTTTTAAATTGTATCCTTTGGTATATATGGTTGTGACTACTTTCTTCCACTATTTGATCTGAGGAAGTGGGTCTGGCCCACGAAAGCTCATCATCTAATAAACCATCTTGTTAGTCTTTAAAGTGCTACATTCTCCCCCCCCCCCCCTCGCTTCCACCTTTTGCTCTATGTAGCTGATTTGCCAGTTTATAATTTTTTTACTTTTTTCATTGTATCCCTGCTATATAATGGTCATGCCAATTCGCTTCAGAATATGATCTGAAGAACTGGGTCTACCCCACGAAAGCTCATTACCTAATAAACTATCTTGTTAGTCTTCAAAGTGCTGCATGACACTTTTTTTGTTTTACCAAGATCAGACTAACATGGCTACTTCTCTGTTACGTTGCTCTTTTTCAGTTATTCAGACCCATCACCAAAAAAGCATTAAAATCTTACTGAATATTACCCAGGAAAGGCCATCACCATTGCCTGACTCCTCAGTTTCTACTCACTGTTTATCCCTCCTTTAAGAAAGTAGATGTCATGACACAGATTTCTCGGACCTGGATTAGTCACAGAGAACAGTGAGAATGGGAGACAGAGCATGTGAGATGACTAGAGGCAGCGGTACCAAGCTACAGCTCTTCTGATGAGGTCAAGGCTCTAAAACCAAGACTTGAGGTGGGAGTGGTAACCTTCAGCAACCTGAATCATTCATATTGATGCCCAGATAGACAGGCTCAGCAAATCCAGTCCTTCAGAAGAGAAAGATTTAAGCCTTCAGTTTCTTTTCTATGAGATACTGGATCTGCTGATCCGACCCTCATTTATGCTAGACATTCTAGTGCTGTAAACTACTGGCTGAGTCCCTACCCCACTTATCCATTACTTCCAGCATCTGTGCAATGTGAGTGATGTGACCCCAGGCCTCAGCAGACTCAACATGAGAGAGAAAATGAATAGGTAAGCAATAATCAATATGTCCTTTGATCATTGATAGTGATTAAAAGTATTAAGAGCATTAATCATTATTTTGGAATGGAAAAGAGTTACAATTGTTTTAAATATTAAAACTGGAATTTGCTCTAATATATGTCAACACAAGGCCAAGAAAGTGATTCTACTTAATGTATTTATTTTACATCTTCCTTTTACCTGATCTGTGTTAAAATAAATGGCTAAGTAACTATAGGATAGATGTCAGGGAATTGCTAAAACGACATTTTAATGACAGCCTGTGGGATAGGCTTCCTGAGAGAAATCACCTTCAGGTCTTTGTATTATTACTTTTAACAGTTTCGTAGAGAAGGAAAAGTATGCAGAAAAAGAATTAGTGAGTGTGATCTCCCTGAGTACTGCAATGGGACTTCAGAATGGTGCCCAAGTGATGTGTTTAAGCAAGATGGAACGCCGTGTGGTAACAATGTCTATTGTTTCCAAGGGAGATGCCCCAGCCTCGAGAGACAGTGCAAAGCTATATTCGGCAAAGGCAAGATTTCCTTGATTGTATATCTAATATATAAAGGATAATGTTTGTAAGTTTGTGCGCTAATAAATTGGACACTATAAGAGCTATGAGAACCAAACTTTGCATGGGATAACCTTTCCTCCAGGAGAAGGTTTTAAGGTACTTTTGGACCTGAGCTCAAGCTGTAAAAATCAAAAAGTAACCCGCCACGCTGCACTGTATGGGCCACCCTGCCGCCTGCAGCCCCCAGCGCTGTCCGGGACTTGCCCCCTCCTACCCGCGAGGTTACATAAGTGACCCTCTTTGTCCTCCCGACCCATGCCGGCATGCAGTTCCCTGACCCCCATGCGCACAACAGCTTGGGCACCCACCTTGCCCCCCGCGGCACCTGGAGCCCCAGGCGCGAGCTGGGGTGCCCCTCTCGCATGTAACCTCCCCTCCACCCAGTATCGCACCCCGCCTCTTGGGATGATGTGGACCTATATTTTAACCCCTATAGAAATCAGTGCAACTTTTTTACCATTCAAAAAGAGATAATAGACTTGTGTTTTTCTACATTTTGTTCCTCTGGTTTCCCGAGCAACGCTGGGTAACTCCAGCTAGTAAAAACATAAAGTAGCACCATTTAACTCTTCAGAAACTAGCCACTTAAATGACAGCCAACAGAGGACTGGCTAATTCTCCTTTTGGGTAGGAGTCTCTGCCATAGAGGAAGGGAGAGCTTGTATGACTTCTGGAAGGTGATGTCAAGTTTCCTGTCTGCAGAGAGTCTTGACTGACACTGCCTACCCTCTTCTGGGAAACTACCCTTCTCTTTGAACTTCTGCTGTGTAACTGGTGGATCTTGAACATCAGACCTCCATGTTATTCTATAGCACCAATCATTGTACTATTGGATGACCAGATAGCAAGTGTACAAAATCAGGAGAGAAGGTGAGGGGTAATATGTTCCTATATAAGACAAAGGCCCAAATATCAGGACTGGCCCAATACAATCTGGATTTCTGGTCACTCAACTGTAATACCTAAACATCCATGATGTGTCCATCGTCTGCTGTTAGATCCTACACATTCTCTCAGTCAAGGAAGTAATAGAAGTTGGGAGTGGCTCCTTGATAGCAAGGCAACTGGCATTTGGAAATAGGTGGTTTGGAGATGCTTGCGTAAGTGGGAAGTTGGCTACAAAAGGTGCTACATTTTGGAGCATACGTGATAGGCTGCTGAGATACCCAGAGAGTATGTACATCACCATCAATACCTACCTTGGTCCAACAGGCTAATATTATAAGTAGTAGTAAAATCCCCAGTTTCTATGTGTTTACTTTGTTTACAATGAAACTTGGTGTTCTTTCACTATTTTTACTGTGCAGCATATAAATGTGTAGTACATACAAATTATCATATGGCAAATAGCTTTTCACTTTTAGACAAATCAAGTTTTCATTTCAGTTACATTTTTAAGCGCAATATAACTTTAGTTATAGATTGCATTTATGCAATCTCCGGCATGAGAATGCTGGAATATTTTGCAACTGATTCCTTTCAGGTGCCCCCTGCTGTGCTGTGCTAAGTTTGCTTGTAATAATGCAAATCACGTCATGACCCAGCATATCATATTCTTTGGCCACAGTGTAGCACTGGGATTTCATATTCACTTTTTCTATGGTACAGCACATTCTTTGCAAACTATAATCAAGGCAGTTTGAATGGCATGCTTTACATTTATTCCTTTCATATCGATCCGTGGGGTTTTAACATGGAGCTCAGTGCATGTATATCCAAAACACCATTCTTTGGACTTAGCACCCAAATCAGATGCACAATTTGGCAGGGAAGTACTTCAATCCCTCTTTAATTAGGATCCACTAAAGGGAGTTGACTGTCCCTAGACTGAGAATATGTACAGGTGGTCAGTGAAGAAATGGGAGCTTCTCCTTTATGACCAATAAAACCAACAAGGAGTCCTGTGGCACCTTACAGACTAACAGATTTATTGGAGCATAAACTTTCGTGGGCAAAGACCCACTTTGTCAGATGCATGTAATGGAAATTCCAGAGGAAGGTAGAAATATACAGACATAAGAAAAGATTCTTCTTCGAGAGGCCCTGTGGGTGCTCCACTCTAGGGGTACGTTTAGACTACAGGGTTTTGTCGACAAAAGTCCACTTTTGTCGACAAAACTAAACCTGCGTCTATACTACCACTGAGTTCTGTCGACATAACGTCGACAGAACTCAGCAGTTTTGTCAATGCTGGTAAACCTCATTTTACGAGGCATAATGCCTTTTGTCAACAGAGTTCTGTTGACAGAAGGTGTTATTGCATCTAGGGTTGTTTCTAGACTACAGGGTTTTGTCGACAAAGCAGCTTGCTTTGTCAACAGAACTGAATGTAGTCTAGACGCTCTTTGTCGACAGAAGCTTTGTCGACAGTATCTGTCGACAAAACTTCTGTCGACAAAAGCCTGTAGTCTAGACGTACCCTAGGTGTCGGGTCCATCCCGGCGCCGCTGGTTGGAAGATTTCAAAGCCATCTTCGGCCGGCCTGCACATGCCCCGTGTGGCACGCAGCTTTCGCGCCTTTCCTAACGAGCGCAGACCGCCCCCCCCGCCAGTTCCTCTCAACCGTCCTCAGTTGCTGGCGGATCTTTGTGATCTCTCCTCAGACACAGAGCAATCCTGTAAAGAAAGTTGTAAAAAAAGTTAATATTTGTTCAGTAGTTAGTTTCTTGTTAGGTAGGTAGGTAGTGTTTAAAAAAAAAAAGATCGTTCTAGTCAGTTTCTGCCAGTCCAGCAGATCTCATTAGTTTCACCATGCCTGGGACACCGGATTCAAGAGGTGTACACAGTGCAAAGAGGCAATGCCAGCCTGAGATGGACATGCCGTTTGTGTCCGCTGCTTAGGGGAGTCCCATGTTCCCCAAAAATGTGTTCACTGTTTAAAAGTTGACTCCTCGAGCACATAGGGACAGGGATCTACGGCTCAAACTGCTTCTCTGCGATAAGGCTCTTCATCCTTTATAGATCTCCCACCAGGAGCCATTAACCACTCCCAAGAGAAGAGCATTATCTCCAGGAGTGCTAAAAGCAAAAAAGAAAAGGGCTTCTCCTGCCCGCTCCCTCCCCGTGGTCCCCCTGCCACGTGTGTGTCAGGACAAGACGGGCACAACAGCAGTCAGTCGGCTGGCATCCAAATCAATTTCCTGACCTGCGGCAGGATCATTTAAGCAGCGCACAGCTTTGGCTCCTCCATCAGCTTCCCCTACTTACAGGGAGCATAAGCGGACCAGAACCCCTTCGGGGGATAAACTGGCCGCAACACAAACGCCAGCAACGATGCCTCCTGAGACGGCACCATGCCTGCAGCAGTGGGACTTGCCAGGATTCGCACCGGAGTCCGCAACGGTGGCGGCACCTCCTACGCCTCCGCAGGAGCGAGCATCGGCCGCTCAGGAGAAGAGGCAGCAGCACCGGGAGACCCCAGTTCAGCGCGCTGCAGAAGTGGGTGCCGGCAGGACAGTTGACACCACCAGATGACAGCTCTTCCGTGGCACCTCTGGTGCCACATGATCTAACTCGCTCGGTGCCAAGAGCTTCTCATTCCTCCCAGTCATCGGCACCGAGACCGCACACAGCCTCTCTATCTTTCCTGCATTCTCAGCCTGTGCTTGGTGAAGGTAACCATGGCAACTCAGCAGGAGACCTCTCAGCTGCACCGGAACATCTCTCAGCTGTTCCTATTAAAGCAGCTAAAAAGTCAGCCCCTAAAAATCAATCACTGTCTCCACTTGTTTTTTCACCTGAACATTCCCTACCTACATATCATTCAGAGAGGAGGGCTTATTCTTCTACATATAGGAATTCACATCGATGCTCCTGCTCGAGTTATTCCTATAGATAAGGACGAGTATCTCCACGCAGATCTCGCTCTCCAACGTACTCTCCCAGATCATACCGGAGCAGACATGGGAGCAGATACTCATCAAGAAGGTCATCACCTGGTTACGATTATCGCTGTCACAGGAGTTATCATGCTCCTATGAGGAAGAGCAGATCACAGTCCCATTCCCACTCTTGTTGCTGCCATTTGTCTTGCTACAGACAGCCTTCACCACCTGCTTCCGCATATCAAAAACCTCAGTCACCAAGACCGCCCTCTCCCGCAGCCCCCTCAGTATCAATCCTTTCTGACCCTGAAGAGGGTCAAATCTCGGATACTGACGAGCACATACCTGCAGCTTCCCCTGGGGATGTCCAATCGTCCTCCCCCGATGATGCGATTTTCGTAGCAGACTCCTCACCACCGGATGATGCCCGGGAATTTCAGGACTTCTTCAAGAGGGCAGCATAATTGCAGGAGGTTCAATTAGCGGACGTGCAGGCTAAGCAGCACAAGTTGTGGAAGAATTTGCACCCTAGGCAACAGTCTAGAGCGGCATTACCACTAAATGAGGCAATTTTGGAGTTGGCTTCAGAAATCTGGAACACATCGGCTTCAGTTACCCCATCGTGTAAGAGAGCTGAGAAAAGATACTTCATAGCAGCAAAAGGTGCGGAGTTCCTGTTTACCCACCCCTAGCCCAATTCATTGGTGGTGGATGCGGCCTTGCAAAGAGCCCACAGGTCAGGAATTCAGCAGCTGACAAGGATGTGAAAAAGCTGGACATTTTTGGATGGAAAGTGTATTCATCCTCTACTCTTTTCCTACGTATTGCAAATTATGCAGCACTCCTATCTAATCATAGCTTTGATAACATCGCGATATTAACTGATATCGCTCAACGAATTTCCGAGACCGATAGGGTACTCCTCCGAGAAATAATTCAGGAGGGTTATGCATGTGCCAGAGCAGGTCTGCAGGTTGCCAGCGACATGGCTGACACAGTGGTGCGAACAGTAGCTACAGCAGTATCCATGAGAAGGGCTTCAAGGCTAACAACAGCTGTGGTACCCAGAGAGCTACAATCTAAGGTGGAGGATCTCCCATTCGATAGTATCAAGCTCTTCGCAGAAAAAACAGATGACATGCTCCACACGGGGAAGGACTCATGAACCACCCTACGCACACTTGGAATGTACATTCCACCTTTCTGCTGTAGACGTTACTTTCCATTTCAAAGGCGCTACGACTATCCATTTCGTAAACAGCAAAACTGTCCTTATGACCAAGGTCGTTCCAAGCAGAGGCTGCAACGCAGATGTCCTCAGATGTCTAGAGCAAACAATACCAGGACACCGAAACAGCAAGTTTGACTCCCCTGTCGAGGGCACGCTGAACACCCCTGTTGTTGTCACAGATGTCAAACCCACATTTCATCACAGACTGCGACCCTATTACCACCAATGGGTTGCCATAACATCAGACAGATGGGTATTGGAAGGGATAAGATCCGGTCTCACCATACCATTCACATCCCTTCCCCCTACCACCCTACCATCCCCATCCTTTTTCAGGGACCCATCTCACAAAGACCTTCTGCGGCAAGATTATCGCCTATTATCCATCGGAGCAATAGAAAAGGTCCCAGATCGCTTCAAAGGAATAGGGTTCTATTTGCGTTACTTCCTAACACAAAAGAAAATGGGGGAATGGAAACCCATTCTGGATCTGCACCAGTTGAATTGCTACCTTCGGAAACAGCGATTAAAAATGTAACTCTCACTACAATCATCCCAGCTCTGGACAACAACGATTGGTTCGCGGCCCTCGACCTACAAGACGCTTACTTTCACATAGCAATACATCCTGCGCACAGACAGTTCCTGCACTTTGTCATAAACGACGAGCATTTTCAATATCGCGTCCTCCCGTTCAGACTGGCCTCAACTCCAAGGGTATTTTCGAAGATCCTCGCCATTGTTGCTGCACATCTCCGGCGACTTCGAGTCATTATATTTCCTTATCTAGACGATTGTTTGATAAAAGGCACGTCTCGGGAAGAAACGACTCTCATGCTCACAACAGTCAGACGAGTGTTCAATTCTCTTGGGCTGATTGTAAACGAGCAAAAATCGACCTTGATGCCAATACAGAACATACAGTTTATAGGAGCAGTTCTCGACTCAGATATGGTAAGAGCGTACCTACCAATGGACAGATTCCAGGCAATAAAAGACCTGGTCAGTCTACTCAGCAAGGCCCCAACAGTCTCAGTATATACCTGTCTGCATCTCCTTGGCCACATGGCCACAGCCATGTTTGTTGTCCTCTACGCATGCCTCCATCTGAGAAATCTACAACACTGGCTGTCAACTGTGTACATCCCTGGGAGACACAACATCCAGAAGCAAGTTTCACCTCCACTCCATGCCCACGTGTCTCTGCGGTGGTGGACCAAAGCATCAAACATCTTGACGGGAATGCCTTTTCACAGACCGAACCCATCCATGCAGCTAACGTCAGATGCTTCCCTCATCGGATGGGATGCTCACGTGGGTGACGAATGCATACAGGGATGCTCGTCTCCCGCTGAGAGATGTCTACACATCAACAGACTGGAATTGCAGGCCATATTTCCAGCATGCAAGCGCTTCCTTCCTCATCTGAGAGACAAGACAGTCAGAGTGCTCACAGACAACGTGGCAGCAATGTATTATATAAACAGACAAAGCGGGGAAAGATCACGCTTCCTATGCACAGAAGCAATATGGTGCTGGAATTGGTGCATAAAGAACAATATCACCATAACAGCATCATACTTACCTGGCACAGCCAATGTTATTGCCGACTCCCTAAGCAGTCGTTTCCCCGTAGACCATGAGTGGGAGATAAGGCAGGATGTGCTCAATGTATAGCTAAGTTTATCTCCCTCAATGTATAGCTAAGTTTATCTCCCTCTTCATAACCACGTACCACTCTATTCGAAACAGACCATTGCCCTTTCAACCACGAGCACATTCGACTAGGGCAGTGGCAACATCTACGTCCTTTGCTAGGAGGGTTCCTCTAGCGGATATTTGTAGGGCAGCTACATGGGCTTCAAGCACTTCGTTCATGACACACTATGCTATAGTACAGAGATGGGCATCAGACCATGCGGTGGCTTCTGCAGTCCTATCTTCTACAAGCATTAATTGACCCGGAGCGCTGGTGTTCCGGTTACTGTTATACAGTCACCTAGAGTGGAGCACCCATGGGGCCACTCGAAGAAAAAGAACTAGTTACTCACCTTGTGTAGTAACGATGGTTCTTCGAGATGTGCCCTGTGGGTGCTCCATGACCCGCCCTCCTCCCTGCTCCGGGTCTCTCTTTTGATTTATCGTTTCAGGGACCGAGCGGTGAGAGGAACTGGCGGGGGGAGGGGACCGATCTGCAATAGTTAGGAAATGCGTGAAAGCCACGCACCACAGGGGTCATGCGCAGGCCAGCCAAAGATGGCTTTGAAATCTTCCGACCAGTGGCGCTGGAATGGACCCGACACCTAGAGTACACACAAGTCGCTTTGGCAGATTCAGACTAACACGGCTATCCCTCTGATTTGTGACCAGTGTTTCTCAAGAGGGACTTTTCATATTCACGCTCCTAATCCCCCCCCCCTCCTCCTCCGAGTCCTAAAGACATCCTGGATTTGGAGGAGGCAGCAGAAAGCACTGAATGGATGGAGCACCATGTCCCCTTTTATAGTACTACCCTCAGAACATTCAGGAAGAATGAAGGCTGGCACAGGCGTGTGTGAGTGCTCCAAAAGGCACCATGATGCAAAGGTTCCACAATCACTGCTGTACCAGATATGCCTCCCATTGCATGTGATTATGCAGAGTCCTCACAGAGAACTTGGGTCAGAGATGAGAAACCTCCATTTCCTCAAACCATTGAAATGAATGGAGGAGTTAGTACAATGCTTATGCTCTCGCCACGCTTTAGGAGATAAGGATGGAAAGCTGACTAGTGAGAATCCCTAGATAAGGTGGAGTCTGAAGGGAATTATTATGGGAAGGAGAATAATTGTTTATTGTTATTATATGTAACGGGAATATATATATATTGGCTTTAATTGTTTTGTTTTTTGAAGGTCTGCCTCACAGTCCCTTCCCTTGCAATTGCTCGAAACTGCCTCTGGCTACTTGTTGCTAACAAACACAGAGTGAGGACCTGTTTTCTTCCACATTTATTTCTGACTTGTCATTTAACTTGTGCCTTCCCCTCTTCTATGCTTGCAGCAGCACAACTGGCCCCACTGACTTGTTACAAAGCAGTGAACACTAAAGGTGACCGGTGTGGCAACTGTGGTGGGGATGGACTTGCTTACAAAAAGTGCCAAGTCAAGTAAGTTGTTTTTCTTGATCAATATGTTCTAATGAAAAATGTACTCAGGAGAAATCCCTGTAAACAAAAGTCCTCATTTCAAGTAGTAGTGTAGAAGAATAAATCATAGACAATTGAGAAGAGATTCAGCTGCATTTTATTGGTGGTTCAGTTTATTTAAGCATTTTAGTTTTCACTCCTAGTAGGTTTGAGGGGGTGCTTTCGTTTTTGAAAGGTATTTCTACAACGTGCCAACCTAGGCAATGGCTGTCATAACTCTTGTGCTTTCATTCATCCTCAGGAGCTGGTTGAAAAAATGAGTCAGTGGTCTCATCAGCTCTTCTGTTTTATGTGACTGGATTTGCAGGTGATTAGAGGTTACTTGCTTGTAGATCATGAATCTTAGATATTGCTTGTTGCTGGACTCCTGACCCTAAGTGGCTGTTGGGATAATGAAGGAAGCACCGGCCTTTTAGTCAGACAACAGCACTGCATAACCAGAGCCCTGCAGCCAACCACCATAGTTGCAACCACTGCAGGCAAGCAAGTAAGCCATGGCCAGTTCTGCCAACATGTGAGCAGCAAGCCTTCTTCCATTCCATTGAAGATCGTAGGCCAGGCATGTCCAAAGTCCGGCCCGCGGGCCAATTGCGGCCCGTGTTCCGGTTTAATACGGCCCCACAGGTAATTTGGCAATATCTATCTTTTATGGCCCCCAACGAATCCATATGTATTGAGATGAATACATTGTAAAATCTCAGTTAATGTCAGTTGGTCTAAATCAGTTATAAATATATTTGGACACAACATGTATACTTGGTGTTATGTTCCTGTTCATATTTTTTGAACTTAAAAGTTGACAGACAACCTTTATTACCAATAATATGTAATGTACTTTACAATGTTCCTGACATATATTTCAGCTTCCTGGATTTTTTTTTCATCTGGCCTTCAGATATGAAAGGCAGAGTGATTTAACACCTGTTTAGATTTGTCATCCATGTGACGAAATGAAAAGTATGCCGTTTGCAATAAACTTTGCATAAAATAGTTAATTTGCATTTAATTTTAATGGTTCAAAGAATGTCAGGCAAAATGGTCGGCCCTCACGCATGTTCACTTCATAAAATCTGGCCCTCTTTGAAAAAAGTTTGGACACCCCTGGTATATAGCATTCCTTTGTATCAGGGAAGATCTAGAATTCAGAATGACCTTAGAAAAATCAATTAGCTGAATGTGATGAGATAAAGAATTCTCACTTTCCTCTGTTTATAGCATGTTCCTCCTCTAGATAGTCTTGAATGGAAAAACAATGTGGAACAACTTGGTATTCACATGTTCTTAGAGCTTTACAAAAATCTTCAGCATTATTCAGCAATCAAGTATAGCCGCCAACAATATCTTAATACTAGACAGTTTGGTACTTGAATACTAAAGTGAGTAACAGACCATAGATGTTGCATCTCATCTGTGTTTTTACAGTAAATAAAGCATGTATATCTTTAATCTGTCACTCTCCTCTTTACACTATATTAACATTTTCCCTTGTCTTCTATAAATCTAAGTCCAATAGAACTGTCAACCCTTTCTAAGGATTATTTTGAAGATGGACAGCTCTGACATTATGAATTAATTTTTTTTTATCAGCTTGTTTATCCAGTAAAACAAAAAATTGTTTATATTAGCATTGAAACAAGCTATGTTAGAATCAAAACCCTGCTGGAAAATATACATAATCCAATTCAGTCCCTACATTTTTCAGAATTAAAAAAACTTAAAATTAGTCTCAGCTGGAAATTGCTGCTCTCAGAATCTCTAAATGTTGTTGGTCAGGACTTCATAGACACTAGAGAACCTGACATTAGCTTCCCAATGCTAATCTTTGCTCCATGATACTATGAGCTAGATGAATAATTTTAAAATGCTCTGTGAACGTTCACGTGAAATATTAAATGAATTCACTATATATATTTTTTCAATAGGATATATATATATATCCCATTGAATATTTACACAAGGGAAACAGTCCAATTTACTAGCACAAAATCCACAGAAAGTGAATTTCAAAGCAAGGTTCAATTGGAAATGAGTGCGCATTTTTTTTGCTCCTAATTAATGCAAATATGGCATTTGCTCCCATATGTAAGCCTTGCCCTCAGTTGCACCTATTCAGTGTCCATTTGCTTGGTTGCCCACTTATAACTGAGGGCAGAATTTGAACCAGCCTGCTGCCATATATAGGAGTGATCTAGTGGCCTCTCTCTTCAGTGGGAACAGAATTGGGTTGCCAGATCCGGCTCCTCATCATCACTATTCATGGGAAATACAGGTGTCTGTTAAGCTAGCTATGAATACTCCAGTCGCACTGTATAACAGACACTTTTTTTTTCCATATTAACTCTTAGAGGGACAGAAAAAATCCTAAATAGGCAGAATTTTCCATCTCTGGGGATTGCTGTTTCTCCTACCTAAATAATATTTCACAGACAGGCAGATGTTGGATTATCACCCAATGAAAAACCAGATGTATTCCTCTGAGGCTGTCCTTCTATCTCAGTACAGAGCTACGCAGTGACTTCAGAGGTAGGACTTCATCTTGGGGCAGGACAAGGAATTTTGGGGGCTGATTGCGGACCACATATGGCTTGCATTTAAAATAGCAATTGTTGCATGAGCATATAGTAGCACAGTATAACTTTAAAATTGCCTAGTTCATTAAAGGACTTGCACCAGAACAAAAGTACCCTTGTACCTATATACATACATTGACTGGAGTTGAAGTGTGTAGTAGAAAACTGTTGCCCTGCAAGTTGAAACAAAACAAAACAGGAAACGTATAAACAGCAGGATACATAGCCAGAGGTGGGGCTATTGTGATAATTGCGGTTTAGTGATCCTCATTGCAGGAAAGCAGATGAAACAACAGCTTAGAGCAGGCATGTCCAAAGTCCGGCCCCTGGGCCAATTGCGGCCCGTGTTCCGGTTTAATACGTCCCCCCAGGTAATTTGGCAATATCTATCTTTTATGGCCCCCAACGAATCCATATGTATTGAGATGAATACATTGTAAAATCTCAGTTAATGTCAGTTGGTCTAAATCAGTTATAAATATATTTGGACACAACATGTATACTTGGTGTTATGTTCCTGTTCATATTTTTTGAACTTAAAAGTTGACAGACAACCTTTATTACCAATAATATGTAATGTACTTTACAATGTTCCTGACATATATTTCAGCTTCCTGGATTTTTTTTTCATCTGGCCTTCAGATATGAAAGGCAGAGTGATTTAACACCTGTTTAGATTTGTCATCCATGTGACGAAATGAAAAGTATGCCATTTGCAATAAACTTTGCATAAAATAGTTAATTTGCATTTAATTTTAATGGTTCAAAGAATGTCAGGCAAAATGGTCAGCCCTCATGCATGTTCACTTCATCAAATCTGGCCCTCTTTGAAAAAAGTTTGGACACCCCTGTCGTAGGCTTATGGTTCCTTTCCCTTGAAGGTCCTTGTCACTGTGACTCAGTGAGTCACAACTGAGAGAACCAAAATCAGGACAAGCTAATGAGAAACAGGGCAGACTCACCCCCAAACTGTTGATCATTCTTCTATAAGATATACCAAACCAACAACAAAAGTAATTTTCTGTCTTCTACACTGGCTAACAAGAAGTCAGAAATGCACCCTTCTTAAGTATGCCAGTCCTGGATTCAACACCCAGATACTAGAATTAATGGTGAGTGGTTATTTAAAACCAATTTCATCAAACAAAAGGTTTTTATTATTCCAAAGGACCAGCTACATTCTCAGTTCAATATATAACTCAGATTTTACCCAATAATCATGCGGCTGGCTAATCCTTTATTATCTAGTACCTAGAAGTTGATGTGTAAAAAGAAAGGCAGGAGTTATAGCTGGCTATAGGAATAAAATACATACACCAACGTTCTTTTCTCAGTTGTAAACTGGTTAAGTCTCTTGTTGCTCCCAAATAGTTGGAACATCTTCAGTCCCTTGGTTAGAGTGCTCCCATAGGTGTAAGTCAGTAGTCCAGAGATCAGAGCAGGAAAGGGAGAGATATTGCCACAGCCTTTTATAGTTCCTGCCATGTGGAGGGAAACCCATTGTTCCAAACAAACACCTCACTACAGTTTTCAGAAGGATACAGGTAACAAGATGAAGTTTAGGGTCATGTGATTTAGACACATGCCTATGGATGTTTTGCTGAGTCATGGTAGAGGCTATTACCTATAGTCTAGTGAGAGCATTCACAAAAAAGTGCATCATATGTGGGTAGGCTTCTTCCATGATCTGTTGAATTTGTTGATGAATCATCAACTTGAATATTCCATTTACAATGTGCTTGACAGCTGGATACAAATTAGCCTGTGGGTACTACCACCAGAACAAACACATTTGAAATACAAATACTGTTGCAAACCAAGGGCGAGTTTGGTGCGGGGCAAATACACCAGGAGTTGGGTGAGTGGGTTCCTGTTTCCTGCATAGGCTGCCAGAGATTGCTGCCCAGCAAGTAAGACAGACGGGCACCTGAGACTCATTAAGAGCCGGCCTGCAGCAGAATCATAGAATACTAGAGCTAGAAGGGACCTCAAGAGATCATCAAGTCCAGTCCCCCGCCCTCATGGCAGGACCAAGCACCATCCAGATCATCTCTGATAGATGTCTGTCTAACCTACTTTTAAATATCTCCAGTGATGGAGATTCCACAACCTCCCTAGGCAATTTATTCCGGTGTTTAACCCCCTGACAGTTAGGAACTTTTTCCTAATGTCCAACCTAAACCTCCCTTGCTCCAGTTTAAGCTCATTGCTTCTTGTCCTATCCTCAGAGGCCAAGCAGAACAATTCCCTCCCCCCCTCCCCCCCGTGACTCCTTTTTCGATACCTGAAAACCGCTATCATGTCCCTTCTTAGTCTTCTCATTTCTAAACTAAACAAGCCCAATTCTTTCAGACTTCCCTCATAGCTCATGTTTTTTAGAACTTTAATCGT